AAGGTGGTGGATAGTCTTTATTTTTCCCAGTAATGCTCCTGAATGCTCCAGGTTTCGCTTAGCCTGCTGCTGTGCTCTAAATGGAGTCATCGCAGGGCTTTCATGTATCTTTGAGTGTTTCACTACAGATTTCTTCACTCGGTTCGGTGTTGGTTTAGTTGGTTGCATTAATTTATGTGCATTAACTTCTCATAGCTGTTAGTATGCATCAGAGTCCCTTTTATCCTGTTGATGTGATTATTTCAGAGACATAAAAGCATTTCCATGCTCATCATGTTGTAATTGAGATCTCCGTTACTTCTAGCAGATGTGTGTCTAAGCCTTCTGTGTTTCTTTGCAAAATCTGTTTGTCTCTTTTCCAGACCTTGGTCCAGCTTCAACATTTAACACACAGTGAGTACTGAAAAATGCCCACAGAAGGGCAGCTGCCTTTGCTACCTGTGTTGTGCTACCCCATTCCACCCTTTGCACTCTTGACATCGTTCTTCTGATGAAGCAGCAGCTGGAGAAGATAGTGATGTTTTCTCTGAGGCAATGGCAGTTTTGTCTTTGCCGATTATTCCCGGTAGCTCAGTGTACTAGGGCTATGGTCCCTGATTGATATCTTAAAGTCAAATCAAGCTCTACTGACAGTGTAACGTGCAGGTCTGATCTGCCACTAAAATGAAAACATCCCCCTAGATGAGTCAGGGTGAAACCTGTCATGTCATCAGCTGATTACCTCCCTGTACTTCCTGCTCCTTTGTATGCAGCTTTCACAGCGTCGTATGCTCATATAAACTCAAGTTTATAGCTCATCTGCCCATGTGTCTAAGGCATCTTGTACCTCATCTCATCTATGTGAAACAAGTTTCCTTTTTTAACCTCTTGCCAGGTAAATTATCCTGAGGTCTCTCTGCTCTGAGCCTAGATGAAGGGTTTTCTGTCTACACCATCACTAGGCTTGGCAGGACTTGAATTACGTTGGCCGTGATAGTAGTGGCAGAACTGAGCTGAGAGAAAACTACGATCATACGACTTGTATTAATAGTGTGTGAACAATAGAAATAGAAAAGAGTGGGTAGAACAGAGCAGTTATCATCTGTTCGACTTTTATTGACTTTGGTCATGTTGGTGGATAGCCAAGACAATGGGGTAAATGGCACGTTAGTGGTACTGCTGATGCTGATAAACTGGGGTAACTGTGAGCACAGTGAGGGCAGAGAGAGAACACAAAAGGCTTGGCAAAGAGAGACGAGGCATAAGGAACAACCATGGCCAACTGAGAGTCCCCTTGGCAAAGGGCACATGGAGACATCTGTGGGAGATCAGCTGAGGCACAGCCAAGGAGAAGCCGGTGGCACTTGGGAAGCCGAAATGTAGAAGGGAACCACTGAGATAATAGGCAAACAATTAGTCTGAGGTTTGTGGTGCAATTGGCTGGAAAACCCCCATCGCACATTGTGCCGTGCGGGCTTCAGTGGCTTATTAGCTGTCGCTAGATAACTGTGATCAAGTGTCTGCATTAATTAGCTCTTAGATTGGCCTGCAGCACCTGAGAGCAGTGGAAGCAGAACAGTAATGACATATCTGCAGATTCAGCCTGAGATGGACAGCAGCATTCTGAGTAGCTCTGTCTGTCTTGAGTGTACTTCTGATCTGCAAGGAGAAGTTTGGCTAGTCATATGTTTTCTGGGAGCTCTGGCAGATGAGATTTCCCCCCCCCCCACCTCTTCCGCTTGGGGGATTGGGAGAGTGAGATTGGAGGCTCTGCAGCACCCCTGAGTTCTGGGGCTATTGTTAGTGGCACTACTGTCACTGTGCGACGGGGTGGGGTGGAGGGTGGCAGTGCTTCTCTCTGCTTCCACGATAGCCATGTGCAGTTTGGGTCTTAAGAAATGCTTGGTACTAATTTTTTTTAAACTGTGGTTTGCAAGGTAAAGGTGAAGCATTGGTTCAGATTTTAAGGCAGACAGATTAGCTTTGGGTATTGGCAGAAGTGAATGGGAGTCAGTGGTCGATGAACTGAGATGCACTTTGAACTAGTTAAAAAATAAATTTTATCTTCATATTTGAAATTATTCTTATATAAATCTCCATGCTCGCTTGCTGATAACTTACCTGAGCACGTGCACATGATTCAATCTTTTACATGGAATGACTGCTGATACACAAGAGAAACTTCAGAGCCTTTCCCAAGGGTTTAGGTGTCCTGTTTGTGAATGGTGTTAGTGATGGCTTGCAAGGACAGATTTCTGCGGGAAGCCGTGGTATCCCAGAAGTCTTGGTGGGAGAGATCTTGGCAGTCTCTAGCCCATCCGCCTGCTCAGAGCAGGGCTGTTGCCAGTGCTCAGTCAGGTCAGCCGTGGCTTTATCTAGCCACATCTTCTTCACCTCTCAGATAGACTGCGCGAGTAGCTCACGAGTTCTCTCGTAGCCATGTAGGGTGATCTTCCCACGCTACAGCTCCCACATTTGCGTTTGTCCGTTGCCAGGACAAAGTGCTGCTTTTTGCCCAGGTAGCAGGGAGGAAGTCGTGGGTACAAAGAATGTCCATGAGGCTTATGTCCCCCCTATCTGGGTGCAAAGTGTTCTTTGCAGTGAGGATTGCCGTGCTAATTGTGCAGCTCCCCGACATGAGTTAGAGCCTCTGTATGGCCTTCTCTGGAGGTACTCGGGCACTGGGGAAGACAGTGTGGGCGACTGCCGACCCAGGTTGGGTCTAAAGGGGCTGGCCGGTACTAGATAGGCAGGAATCTGGAAATAAGGAAAGCCTCAACTCTGTTTGTTTTTCTGTAACGATGCAGAAGGCTAAACCTTGCCTCTTGCGCAGCTCCAAATGCACTGCTCCGAAGCATTTTGTATTTGGCTGTGCTAAAATTTAATCCTAGAGAGATTAAATTGCTCTCGTCCTCGTTGTTCATATCGATCGCGTGCTGCTGGCTGTGGGTGACAAATGGACTTCCCTCTACTTCCAGCTCCAGTCACTCTGGGGTGTACGTGCCAGCTTGATTAATCTTTGCCCCTTTGGGAGGAGATGTACAAAAGCAGTGGGAGAAAATCCTGGCTAAACAGGTAAGGGGTATGATGCTCCCTCGGGTAGCAGAGCAGCAGGTCGTTTTGGAGGTCAAAGCCATTTTGCACTTGGTCATATAACAGCTGTCATTAGTGCAGCATTATATTGAACTATTTTTTCAATCTTTGCTTGGACTTTAACCATTACCCATTTCTTTCTTTCTCTCCTTCACCGCCTTCTATGATGCTTGGACATGCAGAGCAGCAAGGGCTTTTGGAGAATATCTTTCACAAAACCATCCTGAAGGTAGAAACGGCTCAGGTAAGAGAAGTGGCATGTATTGTCTATCGCTGTATGTGGATGACACCTTTTTTTTAATAGGTCTTAGAATTAAAAAATGCATTTATGTGTCAAAAAGGGCTTATATGCGATCTCAGCAGGTGAGAGACAGGAGGAGTCACTTTATGGATCTGTGAAGCCCTTGAGGAGAAAAGGCAGTTTGGTGACTCGTGGGTGGGTTTTGGGGACAAGTTCATTTTTAGGGGACAAGTGCCCTGTCATAAATTCACCTGTAGAGCTATGTCCTTGGAAGATGTTTCAGCTGAAAAATAAGGATGGCACTACACAAGGCTACTGCGCTGGTTTGTCACTCCTAGATCTTGCTTTAACTGTGGAATAAAGAAAGGTGAGTTACGGTGTGTTAGCTGATGTGCTTAGCATACGTGCAATGAGCTGTGTTTGCTGGCCAAGATGACCTCTGGATTTGTTCCCAGGGCTTGCTTCGACAGGGGGTGAAAAAGAGAATTGTCTTGTGTAGTTGAGGACATCGGCGTGTGCTAGCTAACATGTTAGTTTTTTAGCCTCCGAAATTGTCCCCGTCAGCCTGTGATGAGTTCCACCGATGGCCTGGGGAACATAAGAGAAAGTTGCTCTACTGCTAGCAGGGTTATATTTTCTCTGTGAGGAAAGAAAACATTTTGCAGACTCTAAATTCACTGCAAAAAGTCCTACAGAAAATCCTGTAGAATCTATAGCAAATCCTAAGAAAACTGCTATTGAGCAGATTGTTCAATAGCATCAATCTCATCTGCAGGGTATGTTATGTTCTATTTTATATAAAATGTAAGCATGTCTGTTTATTTAGGCTGGAAATGCTTCTTGCCCGATCACACTAGCCTTTGACGGCCAGCTGAATGAGTCTCTGCCTTTCTTCTTGGATCTGTTCTGATGACCTTCAAGTTGTCCTTGGCTGAATTGTGCTTACTGTGTGAATGGAAGGACTTTAAAAAGATGTAGTGCTGTTCTTTGATTTTTCAGCCTTGAGAAACTCCAGTGATGCGTTACTTGTTAACAATATTTATTCTAAGAACAACCCACAGTCATGGTGAGGAGGAAAGAGTAGGAAAAGGCTGGGATTTGTTAAAACTGAGATCAAGAGTCTGTGAGGAAGGGGAAAGGAAAGGGTTGGACAAGCTGTGCAGAGACAGGCCAGTCAGGTCTGAGGAGACTTCCCAGAACAGCAACAGCATCCTTTACCATGGCCATTTTTACAGCTGTTTCTGTCAGCTGAAGCCTTTTTTGGTCCTTTTCTGCAGTCCCTGACCCCAGTTTCCCAGCAGGAGGGATGCCTCCTGCTGCCCACTTTGTAATATCCCTAGCTAAGGAGAACATGAAAATAGAGCTAATGTGACCATGTTGTGGCTGGACAGTGTTGCTGCTGTGGGTCTCCCCAGAGTCGCTGCACGTGGGAATAACAGAGCTCGCGTTGTTTGTATGTGTCTGTGCTTATAGCATATCCATGCTCTCAAGGGCAACCTTCTCTTACCCAGTGCTATCTTTGTATATAAGACTTGAGATCCTATTTCAGTCCAGTGAATTTAGTTACTCTAGATATGAATCAAGTAGAGAGGGGTATGCATGAATACACCACAATCCTTATGGGATGTTGAATTGTAACTAAACTAATGACTTTTCCTAGAAATGACTCTAAATGTCTACAGAAGAGGAGAAACATCATTTTTAATTCATCTTCTGAAATTCTGTTGCATATAATTTAAGACAGTTTGTAACATTTCTTTATAGACAGACATGGTAGGAAGATTATTATTTTACAAAAATGCTGAGAGTAGAAAATCTGACTCCATTTCACGTGTCCCAGTTGTCTAATTACGGAGAACTCTTTCCTTCCTGCAGAAATGCTGTGTATCTCAGTGTTGCTGTTGCACGTTTCTAAACAGCTGTGGCTCAACAGAGCGCCTAAGCTGTATGATTAGCTTTGATCTGATGACTCCAGTGGAACGAATGAAGGGTCTGTTCCATGATAATTGAAGATGTAGCACATATAGGAGTACCTGAATTTGCTCCAACTCATCAACCTGGCTGAAGAGAGCAGGAAGCCCACCAGTATGCTGCAGCTAAATTCACACTCGTGTGTAGTTAGCTCAGGTCCAGAAAGCTGAGCACGCTGAAGAGTTGAGCTGTCAGTGCTTGTGTAAACGCCCCTTGTGTATGTTCTGTATGTAGTTGGGTATATTTTTGCTCATAGCGTTCTGGACTGTTGCCATGAATGTCTTTACCTGGTGGGATAGGCCTGCTTTCTGGAGTAATAACCACAGGTATGTACTGGAGTGATTGCTCTTGGCACTGCCAGTAGATTGCAGTTGGGATCAAGGCTACAGCACGCAAGTGAATTGAAGGAGACAGGCCTTGACTTCAGTAATTTATAGTCCGGAAAAAGGTTTAAGAAACTCCTAAATGGAGTTTAAAGTAATTGATGAACACAATGACGAGGAAGGGTTGTGGTTCTTGAGGAGCAGGAAGAGAATGTGGCAGAACCATCAACGGGGCAGTGATGACTATGTACTTAGTTCAACACCGAAAGGTTAACCAGAGTTGAGCATTTGGAAGAGCAACATTTCTGGTAAGTCCAGGGTACGTTTGGCCAGGAGTTGATCAGTGAGACAGCCCATGTATTAGGAACGGTTCTTGACAAAGTCTGAGAAAAGGTTGCCATCCTGTGTTTTTTCTCTTGAAATAGCCAGGTACTTGCACAATGTTTGCTTTCTTTTCAGTGCTGGTTACTGGATGTCTGAGATGTATGTGTTCCTGGTTAGCTGCTTCCTTTCTCTCACTCCTGCTTCTCTTGCCCGGTGCTGGAGTTTGTGGCAGCAGTTGCTTCATATGGCTTCACTGCCTGTATCCAGATTTGTGATGTCTGAGTGGAATAAATGCTAGTAATGTACTGGTACACTTTTTGTACAGTCCCTGCAGGTGAAGAGCCAGTGGTATGTGCCTGTCAGTGTAATAGTCTGGATCTAGACGTTCTCCGTAGTGCCAGTTCTCCCTTGCTTTTTCCACCCTAATCATCTGTTCTTGCTTTCTCCCTCCTCTGCCTTGTTCCATGTCTGTTGCTCAGCCCTATGATTGTGTTTTGGTTGGTTTTGGCCATCTCCCTAATCTAACCTACTCTTCTCTTATTATTGCCCTGATGCCCTCTCCTCCCAGTCTCTTGATTGTCCTGTTCTTGCCTCCTGTTTTTATTGTGTTCAATTGTGTCATGATGGAGGCCTAAATGGAGGAGGGAAGGGCGGTATCCTCCTCCTCTCCCTCTAGAATAGAGGGTTCTATTAGGTAGAACCCTCCTCTCTCCTTGCAGAGGAGCTGGCAAAGGGACAAATCCTCATTCACAAAATGAGGCAGGTATGAATCTTCAGTTGGGATGCCTCTTCTTTTGCTGCTCTACCTTCTAATCCATCTCCTAGGCAGAAGGGTGGAGCTCTGTAACTCCTCAGGAAGACACTGGAGACCCACCTTCTGCATGGAGATGCCAAGTGTGCAGAGGCTGCCTCAACTTACTCAATTTCTGCTGCATTTTATTCTCTGAGGATATCTATGCTGGTTTGACTTTTTGGTCTTTGGAGTCCCTTGAGGGAAAGGAGATGGTATAATGGCTTTTGCAGTCCCACCTCTTGTTTCACATTGCACTACTGATCTGAGACCTTGTGGTAAGTTTTATGCCCCCAGAGTCTATTCCTGTTGGCTGGAGATTGCGCATGTGTGAGAGCAGGGATTGGCTTTGAGGAATTGGGGAGAGATGATACAGAACTACAGAGGGATTGTATGTAAGCAGGATGGGTTAACTACCGTGTCCAAGACTTTTGACAAGGGGTGATTTATTTGCAAGGCTTTGTTTACCGACTGTTTGCAGCGCAACTGCAGTCTGTGCATGCTCTACTTCCTTTGCTAGAGTAATGAGTAAAGAATTGAACATCATCACAAGGTGAACAAGACTGCAGGGTACTGTAGGGTGTACCTGTAGGGAGAAACAGATGAAGGACGGTGTTTGTTGCTGGTTACAACTTCTGCAGTTTTGATTCTTCCTGATGTGAAGTCTGAGGACTTCAGTTGCACAGTATTTCTGACTCATAGCCTGTGCAACTCTTTGGTGTCTTACCCTGGATGTGTTTTTTGCAGGTGACCAGGGAGGTACATTCACCTATTCTGTCACTTTGCTCACCGTGCTCTGGCCATGTTCTGTTAGGTTACAGCAGATTTTTCTTCTCTGTTTCCCTTTTGGAACAGGCCAGCTGCCTGGTGACAGAGGACATTGTTAACAGAGGATTGTCCCTTTGGGACCGCTCAGTGTCCCCCACCTGATCCTTAAGATACCCTGAGGTTTTAGGAAAAAAGGGAGGGTTGGACTCTGCAGCTGACACAGGCCATGGATCTGTCAAGGGGACTGGAGCCAAGGTGATAATGCATCTCCTGCTCTCTTCCTGCCTCTGTTCATTGTAGGCTTATTCATGCAGACAGAAGGTCTGGGAGGGTTCCCAAAAAGAGCACTCTTCCACGTTGAGCCTTAATTCTGACTACAAAGCTGTTGTCAGAATCCTTGTTGACTCTCACAGCTTTCTGGTACCTTCCAAAGACCTTCCATCCATGTCTGGGGAATGGGGTTAATGTAGAAGTAGGTCTCCCTCAGGAAAGATCTAGATGTAAGTTAGGGAAAGGGACTGAAGTGTTGTAAAGGGTGAATGCAACAAGGCTGCAGAGATCGAAATGAAAAAGATATGATCACTCAAAGTCTCACTAGTGCTTGGGGGATGAGGAGCTTGGGACCTCCACAGGATCCCCTTTCCAGGTTAGGTGTCAGAGGCCCCACAATGAGAAATATCTCAATTAGGTTCCTTTATATTCAGGCTGAGGTTCCTTTATGTTCATATACTGGAGGAGTAAGAGAGAAAGATACCCAGGGCATGGGGCAGCAAAGTAAAAAAAATGAGGGCAAGTAAAGCAGCTGAGAAAAGTCTTCCTTTGGGGGG